TGAGGTTGGCCCAGGATCAGGCAATGTTTCATTCTGTTGTGCACAGGATCGCTATGAGTCAGTACTGACTTGATGGCACCTAACAACAACAACAACAACAACAACAACAACATGTAAGAACATGGGCTCTGGAAATATACAACCTGAAGATAGACAGCCTTCTTTGCCACTTGCTACACATTTGGCCTTGGGGAAGTCAATCAATCTTTTTGTTTTACTTCCCTCTTCTATAAAATCATAACAAGAATAGAACCCTACACCATAGTGTTATTGTGAGAATTAATTGAATTAATATACGCCTGCCCCATGGTAAGCTCAATGGATCCCTTAGTCCCTTGAGTCCATGAGTTTTCAGAAGTGGTGAGGCAGTTGCTTCTCTAGATTTTCAGGAAATGTTTATTCAGTGCTAGAAATTTCCTTGTCTTGACTGACAGCATTTGATGATCCAACCTTCCCACAATGCCCAGTGGTTTAGAGGGAGAAATGATGTGGAACCTGGAGACTTCTCCAAGTGGGCCTATGAGACAAGCCTACCTCAAACTTCACAGATCCTGTCTGGGTGGTGTCGAAGGCGTTGAAGAGGTAATGGGCATACGTGCTGGCATCTGCAGGGAGAGAGGAAAGGGCAGGTGACAAAAGCAGGGTCTCCACAGAGGGAAGAGATCATTTTACAACAGAGGCAGAATCCCAACTAGAAGGAGAAGAGGGTGATGCTGGGGTGGTAGACAGAGAAAATTAAGGAGTAGGAGAATTCGCTGTAGTGAACTGGGGGTCATCTGGCTCTCCTGGGGTCTAGATGGGAAATTCTAGCAAGAGCCAAGACAAGTCTTTGTTTCTCCTTGCATCCAACCATCCAGTGAGCAATCCCCTCATGCCTCTCCCTGTGTGTAGTTCTCTGGGGATGACTGAGTAGAGAAGATGGTCTTCTGATAGGCAGTGCGTTATACCATGAAATCAGCACTCATGTGGAAGCCAACCCATCTGGATGAATCACAGCTCTGTAACTACAGAATTGTGTGCCCGCAGGCATCTAACTCAACCTCTCTGAGCTTTATTCTTGAAAAATAAAAAAAAAGTTAGACTGCAGCATTGCTTGATCCACAGTCAAAACTCAATAAACAGCCACGCCAAAGAACTCCGTTAACTCTGGTTCTGCAGGCCTGTGTGGGACAAAGCTGTTCTTCTTTTTGGTAACAACCATACACTGGGTCACAGCCACCTGTTGCAGATACTCAAGAAGTGCTTGGGATGATTAGGTCTCCATTTCATTAGGACTCATGGAGAGAGTCCAGGTGGGAGGGAGATAGCTCCTGAGATAGGATGGAAGATGGCATGTGACTCATGGAGACCAAAGGAGTAGCCGCTTATGTGTCCCAGGCCCATGGGGACAGGTAGGATTCCCAAAGGAGTCAGGCAGGGCTCAGAGGAGGTGCTGCAGGCCTGGTACCATACCTCACTAGTCTGGCATTTTAGTACATTTTTGGGCTTCTTGCATCTTTTTGGATTTGTTTGTTTTTATAGTCTCTCGTACTTACTAAAAACTCCCTGGTGTCTTAGTGATTAAGTGCTCGGTTACTAATCAAAGGCTTGATGGTTCAAACCCACCAACTACTCTGTGGGAGAAAGATGTGGCAGTCTGGTTCCATAAAGATTTACAGTCTTGGAAACTCTAGGGAACAACTCTACTCTGGTTTACAAGGTAGCGTTGGGTTTTGGGTTTTGATACTTACTAAAGTTCTTTAGAAAACAAGCCATTTTGTCTCAGTTTTCTTAAGGAAAAGAAGGGGAAGTGTCTGTCTTCACAATGGCGAAGCTAACATGTCATGCATGTATCACACATTTCACACTTTAGGGAATCTCATTCTGTCTCTATTCCTTACTAGCTGTACCATCTGGAGTAAATTATTGAACTTCTCTGAACCTTACTTGACCCACCTGGAATAGTAATTCCTGTTATGTCAACCTCTTTTGAGAATTTGATATTGCTTTATCAATCTTCCTCCCTCCCCTTTTAGGAGCTTTTTTTTCTCCTAAAGCATACAAAAAGTCTCATCTGGCACAATAAGAAAGATATCCTGCTCCAAGTTCTCTCTTACCATGAGGAAGAGGTAAAGAGAGAGAAGAAGAGACATGTTGCTTGAGCAAGGGAGCGAGAGATGTAGGCATGTTCTTTTAGGAGGTTGGACTTACCTCCATGGGGGAAGAACTGAGCATAGATCTGTTTGAATGTTTCTTCATTGACCACACCACTGGGGCACTCCTGTGTGATGGAAAGAGAGAGTCAGCGGAGGTATCTGGGACTTTTCCAGCCAGAGGAATTCATACTTGAGGCGCAGAGTTCCTCTTGACCCCTGGTGGGCAGGGACTAGGCAACAACCTGTGAATTTTCTGTATCTCCAAGTGAGTGGTTAGAGGTAGCATCACATTAGGATGGAAGCTGCTTCAAAAATGATGAGACATCATCAGCACATGGGCACCATGAGGTGGAAAGAGCTTGGGCTTTGGCGTTAGAAAGACCTGGTTTGGGATTATAGCTCAGCCACTTACAAATCAGTGTCTAATCCTCAATGTCCTTACCTGTAAAATGAGGTTACAGAACCTTCTCTACAAGGCTATCATGAGGTTTAACATGGGAACTGAGTGGAACTGAGCCCATGGTAGATGCCAGTCAATGTCAGTTTTCTGGATACTAGTCTTGGGCCACTTTCTTACAGGACCCTGCTCCAACCCAGAGGCTAGCTGCTAGAGTTGCCTTTACAAGAATGAAAGACAAGAAGTACTAATGGTAAGAAACCAGACATGAGGCAGGTCCAATCAAGGCTATTGTGGGAGGGCACAGACACTCCTGTGCTTAGATAACTTCTTACTGGTCAGCACTAAGATGGCAAGCAGGTTGGACTTCATCATGCTCTGCCTATAGGGAGAGAGGGTGATGCTGAGCACTTACTTGTTTCTTGCCCTATCCCAGGATTTGGAAATAAAATTGCCATTCTGAGAATTAAATTGAAAAAAAAAAAAAAAAAGCAATACTTGGGGTTGGAAATGAGAGCTTGAAAGTTGGTTTGACACGACATAAATGTATTATGTATCTAAAGAAACAATGGGCCAACAAATTCCCTGTCCTTTGATTAGTGGTGGTGTGGTTATGTACCATGGAGTCGGTTCCAACTCATTGTTGTTGTTGTTATGTGCTTTGAAGTCGGTTCTGACTCATAGCGACCCTGTACAGGGTTTCCGAGGCTGTAAATCTTGACGGGAGCAAAAAGCCTCATCTTTCTTCCGTGGAACAGCTGGTAGTTTTGAACTGCTGACCCTGAGGTTTGCAGCCCGATTCGTAACCACTACGCTACCAGAGCTCCTTTTCCAACTCATAGTGACCCTGTAAAGAATTCCCAAGGCTGTAAATGTTTATGGGAGCAGAGAGCCTATCTTTCTTGCATGGAACAGCTGGTAGTTTTGAACTGCTGACTGTGAGATTATCAGCTCGATTAGTAATCACTATGCTATTAGAAAGTCTTGTCCTTTGATAACATCTTTGATAAAACTTGGCTTCCCATGTAACTCAGAGAAGGTGCTGGCAATTGGAGAGTAGGGTCTCGTTCTATTGTCAGTTCTGTTTCCGGTGGTAAATGAATACATTGGCATTCAGCTCATGTACCAGTCTCTGAGAGCTTGGTTAGCATAACTCAGAAGAGTTAATTCCATCATTTTGGGTGAACCAAGGATATTGAGAGTGTGAGTGTTATGCTAAGACTAGAGTTTGGGCCAGGACGAATTCATCAAGGCTATGGTATTCTGTCATGGTGTGGCACTGTAGGTTAATGCACCAGGCTGCAAAGCCATTTGAACTGCAAGTTCGCAGTTCAAGTTCACCATCTGCTCCTCAGAAACCTTATACAGGATCACAACTGACTCAACGGCACTTAACCACAACAACAACATGACATTCTGTGAAGTTTCTGCGCCAGTATATGTCTACTGAGATTGCCTTATGCTTGCCCAAGCCTTTCTTCCTAACTAGGCAATATTGGTCTCATGTTCCCTTATAGATCTGATTTTCCTTGTACAGTTGCACGTATGATAAAAGTTCCTTGATAGGTTCCCTTGACATTTGGAGGAGTTTCTGGTGGGGCAAACAGCTAGCACTTGGCTGCTAACTGAATGGAGGTTCAAGTCCCCAAAAAGTCTCAGAAGAAAGGCTGGGTGATCTACTGAAAAAGCAATCACTGAAAACCCCAGGGAGCACAGTTCTATTCTGACACATATAAGTTGGAGTTGACCCAACAGCAACAGGCTTTGTGCATTTGGGAAAGCTTAGCCCCAAGTGGGAGATCCTGCCCAGGCCTCCTGAGGACACGTGGATCTTACATTTTTGAAGCCTCGATAAAGGACTTGCAGTTCCCTCTTGGTGAAGTTGGTCTGGGCCTCAAGCTGCTCCAGTCCCTCAGGCCGATGGCAAACCATGGTCATCTCCAGCTCATCTTCAATCTTATCTGGAACCAGAAGAGATGGCATTGGAGTGGATGACCTCAATGGTCACTTTGATCAGGCCACAGTCTGGGTTGTCAAAAGGCTGGGGTCATGATGTGGGACACAGGGCTGTGGGCAGGGGCCACACTGCAGATGATCTTCCTGCTCTGAGCCCACCTCCTGCTGGTCACTAGCTGTCTTACCACCAGCCTACCCCCATGACTCTTGATATGCCAGGTACCACGTAAGGAGTGAGCGTCAGTGTTGGGGACACACATGGTCTGAGTGGAGCTGGTCTACAAGCGCTAAAAATAGTTCCATACATTCCCCATCCTTTCAAAACAGGTTCTTGGCATATTCAAGTTGCTGTCCATTGAAACTTCTGAATATTCCAGAGACTCAGATAAATGAGCAGAATGATGAACTCTCTCTAAACAAAAGAGGAAAACAAATCTAGTAAAAGACATAAACTCTCACTATTTGTGTCAACTAGGGGAAAAGTAGCATGGTCTAGTAAAAAGCTCAAATTACAGAACATTAAATAAATATGGATTTTTAAAAATTTGAACTTTTAAAATATCTACTAGAACTTTTTAAGGAGCTCTGGTAGCGTAGTGATTACGAGTTGGGCTACCAACCTCAAGGTCAGCAGTTTGAAACTACCAGCCGTCTGTGGGAGAAAGATGAGGCTTTCTGCTCCCGTAAAGATTTATAGCCTCGGAAACTCTGTGCAGGGTCGCTATGAGTTGGAACCGACTCCACGGTACTTACCACCACCAACAACAGCTAGAACATTTGTAGTATCTACTAGAACTTATTAATAGGGAAATGACTTAAAAGGGAGCACTACTTTATATCAAGGAAAAGTTTGAATGCATTTGAAAGAGACTAAAAAGCCTATAAACAATTTCTGCCATATGTACTGCAATGGAGCCCTAGCTTAGATGACAAGTGTCTGTCAATTAAAGCAAGGAATCCATGATTCTCCTATTGAGGGATCACAAATCCAGATAAATGGAACTTTTCACAACTCCCTGGCAAAGAGGGATCAATGGGTATTGTCCTCAGGGGCCCTGTCAGAATGCTGTCCATAAATCAAATCTATTCAAGGGTCATTTGCTATTTAACCACCTCTACCCTATTGTTGTCAGGCAGGCATGCTCAAATGCATATATTGAAGAGGGCTGCCTATCTGGGCTGCAAGAATAGTGAGCAGATGGGAGGGCTGCTGGGAACCCCACACACCACATCATGTCCATTGAGACAGCGAATCCGAGTGCAAACCTTGCTCTACATCTGAGAACAGAGCGAGTGGGTGCAGTACTGAGTATATTTCTGTCTTCAGAGCTTGTTGGTCTATTTGTGCCCATTTTCTTCTGACATTGTCACTTTTTCGGAGACTTGATCCCAATACGAAAGGAACTCATCAAACCAAGTTTGTATCTTTTATACAATCTCAAAGGTAGTGGGTATTCAGGTAAGGCGCCAGGGGTGAGGCAGGATAACTTGGTAACAAATCTCCATTGCTGTCTTTCTTGTGTGCTGGGTGACATGGATCACCTTATTCCAGTGGGCATATGGCAGATGACTCAAGAAAAACAAAATATTTTGTTTATACAACATAGCTGCAAGTGTCCAATGTTCTCATATTTCTTTCCAAAGCCTTTAATTATTGTTGTATTGTCACTAACAAGTAGCAATTAACCAAATTATCTAAATCACAGTGTTTCCGTGTAAATAAAAGGACCCCGTAAAAAAAAAAATCCACAAGTCTAATTAAAAAAATTCACACACACACACACACACACACACACACATATATTTTGTATTTATAGCTTTACTTTTTTTTCCTTTAAGTTTTTATTGTGAATTGAGTGTAAGTTTAGAGGGAAGATCATCAGTTTCACATTCAACAAAACATACAACTTGTTCCATCACAATGGTTACAATCCCCTCCATGTACTACCATCAGTTAACAGTATTTCTCTCTATTCACTTTAGCTCTTTTTAAAACACACACACACACTCAGGCATAAATAATAATTCACAACACCAAAGGGCACATTTTGCAAGTCTGCCTCCTGGCTGCCAGCTCTCAGTCCCTCTCTTCCCATGAATCTAGAGTCCTCAGCTGCTCCCTCTTTCTATGTCCCCATTTCTGCCTCCATCTCTGGTGTCGCTGCTTCTCTGTATAAGGTCCCGCCTTCTGCTTGTGCTCTTCTCCCCTGATGGTCCTAGGATCCTTTGTTTCTGGACTGTAAGATTAATTGCTCCTCCATTTTGTTACAAAACTTCTACCTTTACAATTGTGACAGTTGCAATTAGTCATGATAACAATTTCTGACTATTGAATCATAAGAATCTTATCCCCATCTCTTTTAATCAGACCCATCTAGACAAGATGACAACTATTCAGTGAGAACTCTTTCTTCCCCCACACACTCTTAAATTAAACTCCTTCTTGAAACCTCATTAGCCAGTCACCTTGTGCCTTTATTGCCCCTTCATTTTAGGTAGCAAATTTGCCCATACCTGTGTACCCTGTGTTCATTGATAATTGATGTGAAGACTCCTTCCCTCTCTATTGGTATTTAGAGTTACTACCTCCATGAGTATAGGTCAGTTTCATCAAATTGTAGCAATTTGCCTTTGTTTCCTTTATAAAAAATTGTTTATTTTTTTTGGGATCTTTCTCTAGTCAAGTTCTGATTATCAAGCCATTGAGGCTAGGTCAAATGGGTACAATCTGCAAGTTTGGGTGTTCTTGTGCATCTCCCCTCACTTCACATCAGCTGAATGCTTCAGTCTTAGCTCTAGCCCTTTGAGGCTATGTCCTTATCCATGGGCTCAGGTGTCCCCAGGTCTCACTGCACTTTGGACCAACCAGCCCTTCCTCTCTCATCTCCAGGTCAACAGGAGTCAATGGACCATGGTTGAACTCAGCCCATTTCTTCATTGCTGCCTTTTCTCCTCTTCCACTCACCAGTAGACCAGTGTGGTCGCCAGCAAGCTTACATGCCTGCTCATGTGTTCCCTTTGCATTTCAGTCTTAGAGGGGGGTTTGTCTGAAGGAACTTGATTGTTTGCCTTGATGGCTTCCTGGCAAACAGCTTGCTTATTCTTGCAGTAGCCAACCATACTGACATTCTTGTTTTGGGTTTTTCCTGATGATCTTTCTTTGAAGATGCATCTTCTGATGCTCTAGCTGTTCCAGGCTGGTCTGCTTGTCCTTTCTAATGGGAATGTCCTACCTCAGAAGGTTCTGGATGGGACTCAGGATTCTACCTAAGGTCCAATACTCTGCAAAGGCTCCACAAGGGGCCTGTTTCACTGGGCAAGTTGTAGAATCCCTTTTAGGTTTTCCAATCAGTTATAGACTGAAGACGGGATTACAAGTTTTCTGAAATCATGTTCCCCAATACTCCTTTCAGTCCCATTCAAGTGTCTATTTTACAATAGTAGGCAAGGGAAACTAATATTCATAAGAGAGTTAAGCATCTTAGTATTATTTCCCCTCTTCAACTATGCCTAGATCCCTGTATCATGGAGCCCTGTTGTTCCAAGGTTAAGCATGAATCACTATTTACCTCTGTCCCACTTAGCCCA